ATTGCATTCAAAGTAAAGGCTCTAATTTGCCAGGTGAAGATCAATCATTTAAGAAGACATCTACTGCTTGCAACAACGAATCACAGATGCCAACATACAAAGAGTAATTCATATAAACTACTCAGTTACAGGCCACCTGATTGGGCAAGCCAGCTTCAAATGATTCCATTAGTGAAAGTTAAGGTAGGAAAAAATCCAATTGTATATAAATATATTTGATTTTCAAAATACTTTTATTTATATATGAGAATATAATTTTTTTAATGTATTAATCAGTCAATTTTTAAAAGCTGAACTCCTGCTTTAGGGCACTCTTATTATTATTAAAGGGAAACTTTTTTGCAAAATGTCTTTTAGCTCTACAGCCAACCTCTATAACGAGGAAATGTTTATTAAAAAGATGGGAATACAGTAGGTTTGCCAGATGACCAGTTCAAACTCATTCAGTTCCTGTGGAAAAAATTCAATTGTTAAGATCAAAATAATATTTTCAAAGTATGTCTCAAAATTTAAAATTGGATATCAGTTTATGTACGTAAATCTACAGACTTTTCAAATGCATACAATATAGATAGCACTTAGTCGCCAGTTACTCCATTAATTTTCTCAATTAATAAGGGTAAATAAATATTTTTTAGTTTTTTTAGCCATTTACACCTGTTCATAAATGGAGTCTTCCAAATATACCAGATGATATTGATATTTATATCAAGCGAGATGACATGACTGGATCTGTTTTATCAGGTAACAAGGTTAGATGTCTAATACTGTATTGCTTTAGTTACACTGATAATATCAACATTTATTTAAATTAATAAGATCATTTAATAATACATCAAGTCACAGATAAAAGAAAGTATCATTTCTAATTATTTAAATTCATTTTAATACAAAAATTCAGGAATTTTCTTCTTGAAATTTGTCACATAGAACCTGACAGTGTGAACAGAGCTTAAAGCTGTGTCCACACTGTCAAATGTTTTGTGACAAATTTGTGTGATGTGCATGATTATGTCATATTACACCCAAATATGGACATATCACATTTATTTGTCACACCTGATAGTCAGTGTGGGAGAGGGAAGCAAGAGCCTAAGCCCCCCACCGGACTCGTCAAGCCCCTCCCCCCATCGGACAGAGCACATCGGGCAGTTCAACTAATAAGAAATATAAAAATTGCCCACACCAAGCCAACAGATGTCTGTCACAGTCTGAAATGTCATTTCTGGCCATCCATAGGTTCCTATTCTTAAAAAAATCTCATTTGGGAAGCTCAGAAAATATATCCTAGATTCACCACTGCTGATGTGTGATCAGAGATTAAGATTAAGATTGTAGTGGAGGTGTGCTTGGTGGTGACAATGCTTTGCCTTCAGATTCCTGGGTTCTGGGTCTCATGACTCAAAATATTTTCCCTCTCTATGTCTTGCATCACATTATTTCATATATTTAAGCGGGCCCCTGAATATCAACTGACCTCTGGGATAAAAGGCCACCCAAATATGAGTTAAAAACAGATTTTGAATGTGAAGTAAATGTGTTGAAGGTCGAATGTGGCCTGATCACAGTACCTCTTCTTAAGCGCTGTCCACGCTACAACTTTTATATGTCCATATATAGTCATGATGTGCCCATATATAGTCATGATGTGCTTCGTCTCTGTCAGTCATTTTGTTTTTAAATTCAAGTTTATCAGCGCCCTCTGTCATAAGTTTATGTTTTTATTAGGTACGGAAGCTGGAGTTTTTACTAGGTGAAGCTTTAGCAACTGGTTGCCAAGCAGTGGTAACATGTGGTGGAGTTCATTCAAACCATTGTCACACAACAGCAGTTGCAGCTAAACAACTTGGTATTGAAACCCATCTTCTACTCAGATCCAGGTAAGAGGTAAATATACTTATCGGTGGCAGACTTAAGGATGGCCCAGACAGCCTGGCCCCTTTCTAAATTTTTCAAAATTATTATTTTTTTAGGAGAAAAAAATACAATTATATTCAAGTTTGTACCATTATATATTTAAATTTATGTGTGAGAGTGCCATTTCCAGCAATCTAAATAGGTGGCATAATCATAATTAGTCTCAGCCCCAACGTTGATGGGCTGAGGTGGGCGAGCCCCCAATCTGTGCAACTCCTTTTCCGGACCCCTTCCCTCCCCACCTTTATTTTGAAATCCTAAATCCATCACTGCTTATTATGAATTATTGTGAGTAAACATCTACTTTTATCCACTGATTTACTTTGGGACCAGTGTTCTTACTAGCCTTGACTTTTCCCACTTCTTTGAGGCTCTGTTTACACTCACTGCCTACACCCAACCATCTGCTATCCAGGGCCCTAGTAAATAAATAAATAATAATATAAATATAATAAATCATTACCTTAACACATTCAACTCATAGTCAATCATTCAGTAATTAATTTTGCATCTTTTATTAGAACCTTTCTGAGACTGGTTGTCATGGGAACATGTTATCGAACAGTTTGATGGGTGCATCCATGTACTTGGTTCCCATAAAAGCTCAAGAGAAGACCGACCTTGAGCCAAGAATGCAGCGGCTTGCTGACAGACTGCAGTAAGTTGGAAGTTTTGACCACTTATTTTTTATTTTCCTTAAATGGAAAGCAACTTGTCAAATCAATCAATCAAACCATCCTCTGGCATCCATCACCTTCATCCTGTGTCATCTTGTTAATCTCTTGCCACTAACATTCCAATGGGAAGCAACTTGTCAATCATGTTCTGACATCCTTTGGGTGCATATTTCATCAAAAAATTCCTCTACACACGTTCCTCTACCAGAAGATTATGGTACAGATTTTGTTTAGAACAAGCGCGTCGATCCGTTGTGGAAAGAGGAGGGGGAGGGGAACAGCCTTGTACTATTGCGACTACAATATTGTGAGCGGAAATACTACCGTCTAATTTACAATCAAACAGGACTAGGGAGATTGGAAGCGCACAAAACATTAGTTAGCATTTTTATTTCCCAACCATAAAGGTGATTTGTATTTAATTTATCATTATCATGACATGGCGAAATTGCGTCAACAAAACATCGGAGTTCTTGAACTTGTGATATTGCTACTTAAATAAATTGAAATAGATAAACATGTACTTTGCGAAGGCTGTACAATTATTGTTTAATAACGGCTATATAAAATTCAATTGGTTAACTATAATGTTTTTAAATTAGGATAAGCAATGTATGCAGATAATATTAAACACTTAGTGTATACTGGTCTTAATATACAAAAGGAATAAATCATTTATAGTAGAAATTGTTCACTTCTGAGTTTGTAAAAATGTTGGCCTGATAGGTTTACACGCTTTCAGTTTCTACAACGTACAGTACTTTGTTTTCACAATAAATTGATGGTTACTGAGATGGTTTACAAAATGTAAAAACAACTGCGTTTTTACTCGATTTTTGTCTGGAAATATGCACTGCACTTGAAACAGAGCACAAGTGAACAGACAAAATTCATGACAGTCATTCACAATTGTTGTTGTACTTTCTACTCGTTTTGAAAAGTGGAGTTTTCACTATAGAAGATTGATAAAATGTGAGGGGGGGACAATTGATATGATTCCCCTCCCCCCAACTTTGTAAAATTGGGGGACGTGTCACCCACTGTTAAATGCCATTGATTTGATATGTCTTTGTGGGCTCTGTTAAGCATATTCATATTTTTTTTATTAAAACGTTGCCAAATATGTTATTTCCTTATGTTTTTTTTAGAGAGGAAAAGGGTATTAAAGCATATTCGATCCCTATTGGCGGATCCAATGTTGTTGGTCTCCATGGTTACTTGTGTGGCTGGCAAGAACTCTTAGAACAGGTAAGTTGATTGGCAAACCCTCCTGCAAACTAATATATTAAAACATGGGATTTTTCATCCAGCACAAATCTTAATAGATCTATTATAGAGTACATATATATAAACAGTGTTTAATTTTGAGAACTTTTGTAGCTTGTTGGTTGAGATGCCTGCCTGGTAATCCAGGGGTCCTGGGTTCTAATCATGCATGGATTAATTTAATGATTAAAACATTCCAGTCCCAAAGAGTTTAAATTGCGCCTATATGCATACATAGGACATGAGAGTGCAACATTGCACCTCACGATCAGTAGTCCCATACCTTACACGATGCATCACTTGCTCCTTACAAGCATGCTTATGATGTTATTGATTGATCGTTTTAATTGATTTTGTTCTTTAATGATGTATTAATGTAATAATAGATTTAATTAATAAATTTAATTTGATTTATTGCTCAATTGGTTGTTTGATGATGTGGATATATTTTTTTATCATTTTGATTGATTGATTGATTGATTGTTAAATTGATTGATTGATTGATTGATTGATTGTTTTAGTGAGTGATTTGCTTAAGCCTTGTCCAGGCAATCTATGTATGGATAGATTTATTGATTAATAGAGATTAATTAATTGATTTATTATTTTAGGGAGTGACTGACAGGTTTGATGATGTCATACTAACTGTAGGCAGTGGTGGAACAGCAGCTGGTGTTGCTATTGGGAACTTCCTTACTGGATCCCATCTCAGGTATTTATTAAATTGATCTTTTTATTTGGTGTAAAAAACCTGCAGGGCATCAGCTATTAAAACATAATGACTTACTACACACACACATGTATGGAGTGAACTTAAGTGTACTAGGGTCAAAGTTTGATACTTAATCTTGACAGGGCTTAAGTCAGACGCTCTTAGTAC